GCCCCCCNCCCCCCCCCGGACTTTCGCTCCGCCCCCGACCATCCTACAACCAGCTACCGAGAGAAGGTTCCATTCCTCTTACAGGCTGGTTGTATGATGTCCGGCTGTTAAAAGAAGGCGTTAGAAACTCTACAAAACGCTGAATCAAAATTCCCACCCGCCCCGGAGCCTGCACAGGAGCTGACGTTTGGAAGGTCTACCTTCTCTGCAGGCTCTCATGTGGCTGTGCAGCCCAATTCTCGATCTGCACAGCCAGCTGTAGTTTGAATATGTGAAGCTCTGTGCTTGTTTGGTCGGTGACCGGGCAGCGACAGCTTTCCTGTGCCTCCTCTCATCTTTAGCAGTAACTTTTCTGCCTGTCACAGACCTTTCAGCTTCTCTTATGGATTTATAGTGGAACCTGAGAGTTTTTTAAGAGGATTTAGATACTTTGATCTTTCTAAGACCATCTCGAAGTACGGGCAATCTATATCTAGGACGCAATCTCAGGGCGTCGTGTGGCGTAGCTGCAGAGTACGCGACTCGGAACCGGCAATAAACCATTTTTGATTGATTGATTGACTGATTGATTGAACTTTAGAGTCCCGGGTTCGAGTCCTGACATGCCACCGATCTTGTGACCTTGGGAAAGGCACTTTACACGGCTTTCCTCACTTAGCTCAGGTGTAAATAAGTATTGTTCTGTCATGTATTTGTCCCCTGTGTTAGTGGCGGCATTAATGAATGAAGAAGACCTTTATTGTACATTTGTGTTCTACAGAACTAAGTACAGGTCGCATGGGTACAGAACATGAACATAAACATATCCATTACATACAAATGAACATATAAGAGTGTAAATAATGTCTAATTTCTATTCTTTTCGGCTTCATCTCGCTTAGTAGTGATTGTATGGATATATGCGGCTGTGAGATTACTTAGAGTAGGTTTATCAAAAGTTAAAAGGAATACAAATTTCTCTTTACTAGTCAAATGTCTGAAGTGACGAAATATACTTAATACATGGCTATAAAATATGAGTCTATCTCTACTATACAAGGGGCAATCTATGGTGAAATGTATTTCATCTTCTATTTGGCCTAAACTACAGAATTGACAGGTTCTTTGTTCCAGAGGAGTGCGGTTATGTCTTCCTGATTCGATTCGTAATTTGTGACAACTGATTCTTAGTTTTGTAATAGAGGACCTGTGACGTATGTTCGTTAAGTTGAGATAATTTTCTTCGTTATAGGTATGTTTTAATAATCTGTATAGACGTAGTTTGTTCTTTGCGTTCACAGCTTTGCTATCATTGTGAATTTCGGATAGGAATGTTTGAAAATAAATGTCTTTTAATCGCTGGAAAATTGATGAAATGGTAGGGGACGTGTTCAAAAAAATTGATTGGGGATTTTGCCAGACGAAAGCATAACCACATTCCTCTAGAGCTCTACGTACTCCAGACGCCCAGCATTTAGTACCTGAAGCTTCTAGGTCTATTTGGCATAGGAGGGCGTCTGCTTGAAGGGAGTCAGCTGGTACGTTCTTGTGGAGTCGAATAAAATACTTGATAGCGTTTAGGGAGGCCTCCAAGTGGATGGGGTACCTCCCTAGTTCTGCCCGTGCTGCAAAGTTACTAGCTGTTTTTGGTATATTCAGTGAATGTTTGCAAAATTTTAGATGTACAGCTTCAATAGGACAGAACTTTTGGCTTTTAAAAGAACCCCATATTTCAGACCCGTATAGTAGGATAGGTTTAATACAGGAGTCAAAGAGCTTCTTCTTAATGGATAATGAGGCGTCGGCTTTGCTAAGGGATTGTCTGATGCTGAACAAGGATTTTAGACCCTTGTTGCTTAGATTTTTGTTGTTGGCTTTGAACGTACCAGCTGCGCTTACCACTATGCCTAGATAACAATATGACGTTACGATTTCAGTTACGTTATTACTAAACAAAAAATAACAATTCTTAGGTAGTCTACCTCCCTTACTAAAGACAATTATTTTTGTCTTTTTCAGATTCACCTTCAAATTCCAATATTTACAATATTTCTCTAATTTATCTAAACATGACTGCAAGCCTTGCTGAGATTCGGAGAATAAAACAAGGTCGTCTGCATACAAAAGACAAGGAACTTTCCTATTGCAAAGAATAGGGGAGTCACAGCAAGGATCATTAAACTCAGCTATGATGTCACTGATAAATAAATTAAACAGAGTTGGACTTAGATTACAGCCTTGTCGAACCCCACAGTTAGTTACAAACGCGTCTGTAAGGCCGCCGTTGGTTTTAATGCAGTTTTTTGTTTTTGAATACATGTTTTTGATGGTCATTAGGAATTTTCCTCCAATACCAAGGTTATTTAATTTGAATAGCAAACCTTCCCGCCAAACAGAATCGAAAGCTTTGCTGAAGTCAACAAAACATGAGTAAATTCGCACGTTCTTGCTTAGGTATTTGCTGACTAGAGTGGTTAATAATAAGTTGAAAAAACTTGAGTGTGTCGTCACCACGTCTGGTGATTACATGTTGGAATAAAGAAAAATCTCAGGGCGTTGTTTTATGTGAGACACTTATCCATTAACACCGAAAATCGGGTTTCCAAGCCCTAAAAATTTCACTGGAATTGCTTTTAATAGACAACATATTTTTTTAGCTTCTATGACCAACCTACTAGTATTTTGCGTACCAGCTCACAAACATTCGTGGTGTCGCATTCTGGTCACTGAAAACGCGAAGTGTGGTCGTTTCTTGTGTAACAGCAGTTTTCGTACTTCTCCATACAGTTGACTGCCCGGTCGGAACCTACTACACTGATGTCAGTGGCGAGGCTACGTGCGACGTTTGTCCGCTGGGCTCCTATCAGGACGAAGAAGGACAGACCGAGTGTATCCAGTGTGAGCCGGGATTCTTCACTGCAGGCAACAACAGCAAGAACGCGACAGACTGCAGGGGTAAGACAGTTATTCCATCACATCAATGAGATAGAATGTTTGTGTTCCTCATGATCATCGGCAACGGACATTTCAGGACATCGGCCTCTCTCTGTGGTTTGCAGCTATTGTTGTAAAAACATGACTTTTCTCAACTGAGCTACTCAATACCAAATAGTTCAATGATATAATACACATTACCATATTGACCCTACAAGCGTATTGATAGTTCATAAGAAATACGAGTCCAATTGCGGTGCTGCTTTACTATGTTACATTATTATGTTAGCAATGGTGTACAAAGCGTACGGTGTTGAAGTAGTATTTCATGACTTTAAAAAAATCACCGTCCAAAATAACATCACCCTGACTGCCATACCTTCCTTTAGGCCAGTGTCCACAGGGGACATATTCAGAGACGGGATTAGAGACCTGCATGTTCTGTCCAAAGGGCACGTATCAGAACCAAGAGGGAGCCACTGAGTGCATCGCCTGTGAGGAGGGCACAACAACGGGAGGAGTGGGCACAGTGGACAAGGACGACTGCAGTAGTAAGGACACATCTCACATCAACTCTGTAACATGTAAAAGGTGTAACCTGTAGATAAATTCACAATTTATTTATGACTGTGTTCTTGAACATCATTGAAAAAATATCTGTGAGGCCGAATATCTGTCCGGTCCAGAATATTATTATACAAGTCATGCACGCGTATAGTAATCAAACTCTATACGTTTATACAATATAAATGTTTACGATATAATGTATTGTTTTCAGGGTTATGTGTGCCCGGCAGTTTCTCCCGGACCGGTACAGATCCGTGTGCCCTGTGTCCAGTCGGCACGTTCCAGCCCGGACATGGTCAAACCGAATGTTTGTCCTGTCCTCTGGGCACGGGGACAGACGCCGTGGGGTCGGAGGCGTCCAGCGACTGCGTTGGTGAGTACGTCTTATCGTAATGGTGGTAAACCTGCACTGTGTACATTTCATTTTGTTGCACAATTATCATGCTCTTTAACTCCAATCTTTTTTGCTCTCTGTATTAACGTACTGAGTTATTGGTACTGTTTATATGCCAACTTTACTTTTGACCATGAATGATATAATCAACAGAAAGCTTTAATCTCTTGTGACATTGTGTAAATACTTATAGTAGTCACGAGGAACTGAAATGTCATATGGTTGATTCTTATTCTAAAAAGAAATGGAATCCTTTTGAACCAAGACGATTGAAACATTATTTTTGTATCCTTTTTTCCTCAGAACTTGACTACTGCCAGTCCTTCCCCTGCCAAAATGGCGGATCGTGCAGCATGCAGGGGTCAGAGTTCAACTGCCAGTGCCCAGCCGGGTTTGAAGGCGACATGTGTGACGTCAATGTAGATGAGTGCGCGGCAATGCCGTGTTACTCCTTAGCTACCTGCTTGGATAGAGGTGTGAGCCTTCTTTTTTTTAATTTTTTTAAATAATAATAATAATAACTGGTTTTTATTGTCCAAAGAGTACCCGTGCAGTCGCAGCCTTATACGGCTGAATTGATGCAGGGTATCACATAATAATCAATACAAATCACAACAATTACAACAATCAAATAATGTACATGATACACATATTTGTTCCACAATTATTTTTGTGGAACTGTCGCAAGGGTCTGTGCGGCTGCCATTCGGCGCCACAAGGTGACCTATCAATACGACTTTCCCCAACCGAAGTTAGGTACCCATTCACACCTGGGTGGAGTGAGGAAAGTCGTGTAAAGTGCCTTTCCCAAGGGCACAACGTCGGGGCGCATGTTCAGACATGTACCCCGACGTTGTTTTCACTTCCAAATTTCACAATTTGCATCATTATCAAGATATTTCAAAATATTTTGGCCTTGACAGCTGATATCTGACCAACATCACTGGGATTCTGCCATATTTTTCTTTATTACTCCGTGAAGGAGGTCAGGACCTCCGGACGGAGTGTTGTGATCGGCTGATTTTTCATGTTCGCAGTCAAAACACTGGGTTCTCTTTGTGTAATCGGCACGCAATTTTATACGCCGTCTGCGGGCATGCCCGTGTTGATGCACGAATGTGTATTTTTGCCGTTGCTGCTTTCGCGGTCAATGTAATATCGCAGACGCACCCCTACAATTACGAGGCGAATTGGAATGGTCCAGAAAAACACGTTGTTTGGAATAGCAGTGGGGGGGGTAAAAGTTCATGCAGATACGGGGTGGTTTTTATAAGTGGTTCCAGATGTTTTTGCCCATGGTTAAGAGATGCCAGGTTTTTTGGAAGATGTTCGCAGCCAAAACGCATTCTTCCGTACGTCGCATTTCTGTGTAATTTCGCATGTGGTGTTGCATTATGTCCGGGATGATGCACGTCTTTTTATTTTTACCGTAGCTGTTTTGATATTGAAGTAAATGCATATTTTAGAAACATCCCTACTTTTACAATCCTGTGGAATAGGCCGTAGGTTTAGGCAGTTGTCTGGTAGCAGAGGTTCTGTAAGCAGATATCCTGGTTATCTGGCCGGCGGTAGTAACACTCGCGGTGCTTACCGCAACTGACTGTTGCTGGCCTGTTCCAGGCGCGCTTAATTAGGTACAGGCACAGTAAGACGGTGCCTGGACGGTGGGGCTGTTGGCTGTCTTTGTTACTAGACACGACCATGATAGTCCGATCTTTATGTGAATGCAATGATTGTGTGTGTGTAATTAAAATGAACTTCGAAGTTGAAGCACAGTATCTTTACACGCCCTGGGAGCAGTAATGGATTTAGCTCTTTGTATGTTTTATGCTTGTGACGCGCCCTCATTGTATTAACCGTTGCCTAATGGACCTATACCATTATTGCGTCACAGTTTGTTTACCTGTTCTAAAGAACATTCAAGAATGGTCAGTTAAAGAATAAAGATCATTTCAAAGTTTTCAAAGTAAGGTATGTCTGATTTTTGCTGCGTCTAGTTTTGTTGACACAGCATTACATGCCGCATGGGTGATTTAGTTGTGACATTAGACGAAAGTAGTACTGTATTAAAAGCCTTATATTAAGCTAACGCTACACAAACACACACCGCGCTACGCACCCCTGTACAATATAAACGTCGATTGACCGGCATTCATTGCGGTAAACAAACTGTGACGTAATAATGGTATAGGTCCATTATAATGTCTTTTTTTTTTTATTCCAACATGTAATCACCAGACGTGGTGACGACACACTCAAGTTTTTTCAACTTATATTAATGCCGCCACCAACACAGGGGACAAATACATGACAGGGCAATACTCATTTACACCTGAGCGAAGTAAGGAAAGTCGTGTAAAGTGCCTTTCCCAAGGGCACAAGATCGGTGGCATGTCAGGACTCGAACCCGGGACTCTAAGTTCCGAGTCGCGCACTCTGCCGCTACGCCAGACGACCCCACAATGAATATTGACCCCACAGTGAAATTATAATGTCTGCACAGTAGGTCTGGCGTTGACGCTTGGGATTTTGTTGAAATATATAAAACTTCACGGAGGATTGTCACCTATGGCTTCTTGTTTGACATTATCTTTAGGCGTTAATGTTCATTGACTCGTGTGTTTCTCCTGATAGTTACGTGTATTAAATGTGTTTTTGGTTGTTGTTGCTGAAAAGTATTTTTATATGAAGGTGTTTATGATTCACCATGTTATTTGGTTGACTCTTGTGTTTCCCTATTATCTAACAATGTGACTTTCATATTGTGTTTCCCGATGATCTAACCATGCTACTTTGACATTGTGTTTCTCCTGACAGTTGACGGATATGAGTGTGTTTGTGCTTCCGGTTGGACCGGTGAACGGTGTGACGTCAACATCGATGAGTGTGCGCCTGCGCCGTGTTTGAATGGAGCAACTTGTGTTGATGAGGTATGTATAAGTTCTATACCACAGATAAATATCAATATAAACAAAGCACGCAGGTGATACATAATCTAAAATGTTTTGCAAAATGGATGTGTTTAATATTACAAAGAAAGGGTAGCACTTTTACGTTCAAAGAAGTATTTCAACAGGATTAAGTCATTATGCTTAGCAAAATGGCAAAGGGGGGAGTTTTTGGACTATTAAACAGCATTATGTAAATCCTATATATCTGATTAAAGTCAATGGCGAATAAAAGTTAAAAGTTTTAGAATGATGAGAAGTGGTGATGAACCCCTTGACAGGACAACGGGTTCCTGTGCCTGTGCGCGGATGGATACAGCGGTACGTTCTGTGAAGTCAACATTGACGACTGTAGTGACAGCCCGTGTAACGACACGGCCGTGTGTGTGGACCTGGTGGACAGTTTCCAGTGCCTGTGTCAGGACGGCTACACCGGAAAATACTGCGAGGTCGACATCAACGACTGTGAGGCCGAACCCTGTCAGAATGGCGGAAAGTGAGCACATTTCAAACTTCTTTAGAGTAGTTAGAGGTTCTTTGAATTGACGCACTTTTTTTAATTCCAACATGTAATCACAAGACGTGGTGACGACACACTCAAGTTTTTCCCAACTTATATTAATGCCGCCACCAACACAGGGGACAAATACATGACAGGACAATACTCATTTACACCTGAAGGACAATACCCAGCTGTCAGGTGGCATGTCAGGACTCGAACCCAGGAGTCTTAGTTCCTAGTCGCGCACTCTGTCGCTACGCCACACGACCCCAACAACGCACGTTTCTTTAAGATAGGCACTAGAGAGTAGGCTTTTAGACTGGTGGCTACCACATAAAGCTTTCGCTAAAGCATAAGCCAACGCAATATCATGTACAGTTCCTAAACTACGTTGAACGCTGTCCTTTTTTTGTCAGGTGCACGGATGAAGTTGGAAGGTACATCTGCCAGTGCAAACCTGGGTTTGTCGGCTACAACTGTGAACTGAATGTGAACGAGTGCGCGTCCAACCCCTGTCTGAACCGTGCACACTGTGAGGACAAGATCAACTCATATCATTGTCACTGCGCACCTGGATTTGGAGGGACACACTGTGAAGACGGTAAGGATGTTCTTTAGTTTGTATCGTGCACGTGATTTAGTTCGGTCAACATGTTTCTATTATGGGTTTACATATAAAGTGTAAGATGTAGCAACCGTGCTTGTTTGGTCCTGGATTATATTTCCTTATTATTAGCTCTTTGTTAATTTTTCTTTTCTTTGAAAATAGAAAGAAAGCAGAAAAATCTTTTCATCTTGATCTCCTTCGTTGAAAAGGAAACGTAATAGTTTCTTGAAATCAGAACATTTTAATGGACATCTTGAGAGCAACATAGTTAACCTCAAACAATTTTTTTTCTCATGTGATTTTCTAAAGATGATGTTTGTGCTTCTCTATTCTTTAGAGCTTTCTGCAGATTTTGACCTGAAGTTCCCCAAGGGGATGCTTTCCGAGTTCACCTCCGCTAAAATGGAACCAGATCTGTCCGCTGTCACTGTCGCCTTCTGGATGAAGATGGCTCTGGACAAAAAGGATCACAAATACGTCTTCTCGTACGCAGCAGAGGAAGTGAGTAAATCTTAGGGAATTCTTGATATTCTGTGAATGTCGGTACTCGGTTAAAGGCTTTCCTGACCAACAGGGAGCAAACAGTAGTGGTTGAAGGGAAGGCGTCGGCTCCAGTTAAAGTAGCGTCTGGGGTCCCTCAAGGAACCGTCCTGGGGCCATTGCTCTTTCTCTTGTATATAAATGACCTACCAGATCAGCTTGACTCAAATGTGAGGTTATTTGCCGATGACTGTCTATTGTATGTAGAGCTTTCTACACAGACCGACTCACAACTTCTCCAAAAAGACCTGAACACCCTGGAAGAATGGCAAAGCAAATGGCTCATGCAGTTTAATCCCGAAAAATGCTACATTATGCACATAACAAACAAACGAACACCACATGCAACTAGCTACCAGTTTTGTGGTCAGGCTTTAGCAACCACAAAAACCCATCCGTATCTGGGCGTCACGCTGACAAGCGGACTGAAGTGGGGTGCACATGTTAATAATATCACAACTAAGGCGAAACAGACATTGGGAGTGATTAAACGTAATCTGTGGGCATGTCCAACTAGAGTAAAATCACTTGCATACACGTCACTTGTAAGACCAAACCTAGAATATGCTGCGACAGTATGGGATCCATATACAAAGAAAGACAAAGACAAATTAGAAAGGGTACAGAATCAAGCTGCAAGATTCTGTATAAACAACTATGAAAGAGGTGCTAGTGTCACGGAAATGAAAAGAAACCTACAGTGGACCTCACTGGAAGACAGAAGAAAGATGTCTAGACTATGCATGATGTACAAAATGACTAATAAACTGGTGGATGTCCCAACTACTAAGTACCTAATACCAGCCCAGAAGAGAACAAGAAATAGCCACGCATTCAAGTACCAGAGTTATGAACCAAGGATTGAGGTGTTCAAGAATTCATTCTTTCCAAGAACTATCGCAGAGTGGAGCTCACTGTCACCAAGTACAGTAGGGGCATTGTCAATAGATAGCTTTAAACAATGTCTAGAGCTAGAAGTTCAAGGGTTAGGTGTAACAAGTCGATCGGTGTAATATAGCCAGCTGCCGCCGCGCCGCGTGCCTGCGAAGCTGGTGTGTTACGCCGAAAGGCGGTTATACCGGCTATACAGATACAGATACAGATACAGATACTCTCAATAATAATACTGAGAGTGCGTTTAGTCTTTAAATGTATTTGTTATAATTACACAGTAATCACTTTGTTTTATTTCGTATTTGAGCATTGTCAGCGATCTTTTCTTCGTTGTACTAGCATGAAAGTTCATCTGAGTTGTGTTTATTGTAAGGTTGTTACAATGAGCAATTGTCATGATTGTGGCCAAATGAAAAGAAATAAATTTTAAGCTATATACAACGTTGCATTTGACAACTAACGAATGTTAACCATGTGTTCCCTTTTCAAAGTTAATTTCATTGAAGGCATGCTAAATCAAATAATCGTTTGGTAGTAGATCACATTTATTTTGTATTTCTATTTGTATTTGTTGGCAATGATACATGTCATATTGGGTTAGCACATGTGCACAGGCAGATCAGACTAGTCAGTGATCACTGGCCCACGCCACAAAAAGCACAGACGTAATAGAAATCGAATAAGTTAATTAAAAAAATATTAATTAATAAGTAAATTAGAATCTAAAATAAACTACAGATTATTCAATAAAAGGAATAAATTGTTCTCTTGCATTAGGATGGTGTGGTCCAGGACAATGCTCTTGTTATTGAAGTGGACAACTTTAACGAGTTCCTGTTTATGGTCAACGGAGAGAAGATCACGACCACCGCTTCAGTGGAGGACGAGGCGTGGCACCACTACGCCTTCACGTGGGCTGGGGGTGAGTGGAACTGTACTTCCGTGACTTTTTCTTACATCGTTCTCTCCCCTTAGTAATGACTGAGATTCTATAGAAAATGTAAAACTGAATACTGTTTAGAACAATACCTAGAACATTGTGACTTCGATCAGCGCTCCGCTATTAGTAAAATTAGAATCAGTGCCCACTCCTTGGAAATCGAAAAAGGGCGATATATGAAACTGCCTGTGTCGGAGAGAATTTGTAAATATTGCTCCTCAAATGCAGTGGAAGACGAAATTCATTTCATCTCTAACTGTCCATTTTATGACGACATCAGAAATCAATTATTTACCACCGTGTCCAAAATGCTGCCTTACTTCCCCACCATTCCTTACCACAAAAAACAATTTTACTACTAAAATCAAAGAACCCACATATTATAGAAGAAGTGGGTAAATTCGTCTTCCATTGCCTAAAAAGAAGAAGTCAAACCCAGTAAAACTAGTGTCATGTCATGTTGTAGAATATAGTATAGTATAATGTTAGAAGTAGATATAGTCTCACATACCACTGTATTTTCTTTCTATGTTGTTTCTAACTGCAATTAGCCCTCGGGCAAGTATTTGCAATAAACTTTCAATGACCATATACAGTTTTACCACATGAAACACTACTGCTGCATACAGTTTAACAAATCCTCATTACTACAATCATTGGCATCACAGAAAACTGGTAGCACTAGAGTTGTACGAGAGAGAGAAAAGAGCAACCCAAAAATCTGTTACCTGTGCATGTACCGCATGTTGCTTGCTGAGACTTGATAATCTGCACCAGGAAGGGGCTCAAGTGTATCACAGTAATAAAGGCAACTCCGGAGAGTCAAACACAGGCCGTTATGCTGTCATGTACAAAAACAAAGGTCTTTCCTGCTCGGTCCAAAAACCATATGACCGTGGGTTACCTCAATACCAATTTCCTATGGAATGTATTTGTGCAATTTTTGAAATTCTTTCAAAGCGATTGTAGTACTTACACAAATGCCTCCGCCCCTAAGGCGTCGCCATAAAAAAACAAAGCTTAAGAGACTTGCAAGGCGTGCTTCTTCGGCCCGAAGCTGTGTTCCAAGAACCTAGACTACTGAAAATACAGCAGGTGCGATTATTTCTTGGTTAGTTCTACAGTGCCCCGCTGGTTATCAACTGTTCAGAGACGTCTGCTACAAAGTGTTCGACACTGAGAAGGACTACCTCGGGTCGGCGGCTGTTTGTGAAGAGGACGGCGGCACGCTGGCAACTCCTCGGGACCAGGCTACCGACAACTTCCTCATCAGGCTGAGATCTTCCCTAAACCCAAGCGTCAGATACTGGATAGGACTGGCGGATAGAGAGGAGGAAGGAACGTGGAGGTGGACTGATGGACGGCCAGTGGGCAGCTTTACGAACTGGGCAATCGGGGAGCCGAATAATGCCGGCAACGAGGACTGTGCTGTGTACGCCGCCCACCCGTCCATACGGGACAGGTGGAACGACGTGCCCTGTTCTCTCCGCTACCGATTCATCTGCCAAAAGCCTGCAGCGGGTGAGATAACCTCCTCATCTCCTCATGAAAACCACGAGCCCATTCCTTTTGATAGCACTTCCATGTCAGAAAACCTACGGTGCCGAATAATGAAAGTACACCAACAACCCATCAATCTGGCTGTAAAAAAAATAACATCTGATATACAATGTTTACCTCATCCTGACCAGCAAAAACTACGGTTAATTTTAACAGTGTCTTTTTAAACTTACTAAAATACTAAAATCTACATGATAGCAACAACTATAGGTCGAAAATGCACGTGGTTAATCAGATTTTTGTAGACCTTTGATGGTGACAGTCGAACCAGAAATGCAAAATGTCCAATATCTCCCCAGTTCTACAGTGTCCTGCGGGATATCAGGCCTTCAGAGACGCTTGCTATAAGGCTTTCGACGCAGAGAAGGACTACGCCGAGTCGGAGGCAGTGTGTCTGTCGGCTGGCGGTACACTGGCCATGCCCCAGGACAAGTTGCTCAACAGCTTCCTCATACAACTAAAAAATTCGTTGAATCCTAGAGTAAGGTACTGGATAGGCCTTAACGATAAAGCAGAGGAAGGAGCCTGGCGTTGGAGCGACAACCAGGCAGTGGGAGACTTCTCCAGTTGGGCTGAAGGGGAACCGAACAACGCAGGGAACGAAGACTGCACGGTCTACGCTGCCCATCCCTCTATAAGGGACAAGTGGAACGACGTCCCGTGTTCGCTTCGCTACCGGTTTATCTGCCAAGTACCGGTAACGGGTGAGACGCATAGACTTCGGACTACCTTTCACCGCACAGTAACAACGCACACATGTCCACAGACACCAGAATTCGCTCGTTTTGTTCTACAACTAGCATAGAATGGAACCTGCTGCTTCCAAGTACAATTATAATTCATGATCACTTGGTAGATTAATACAACGCTTATAGAGTTATATGTGCAAAGTTTGGTGTAACAGGTTGCGCCGAGTGTCTGCGAAGCCGGTGTGTTACACCGACAGGCCCCAGTAGGAAGCCACTGTACTAGTCTACCAGCTGGTTCGTTACTACGAACAACATGCCCTGCCAGGGCGAGTCTTCGTCGTCGGACTACAGATGAAATGGGCGTGAGAGAGCCATAGAGTTGTTTGTTTGTTAGATGTTGTCTCCATGAAACATTATACACTGCCCTATATCTGTTATATACTCTGGTACAGCTACATACATGTAGTATCATGGGTTTGGGCTTGAAGGTAGAGTACATGAATGTTGCTGTCGTTAGAAAGACATACCAATTATAGAAGTTCCTATAGTTTTACTGAATGGAATACAATTTCACAGATTGTTACTATATAGGCACCCTTCCAATCGGGAGATGTAACTAATTGTGATGATGAATCTGTGTTTTACAAATTCAGGCTCCGAGCAACAGTGGGCTTTCTACGTGGACGGTCAGCGGAACACCGGCGGTTCTGAGGCCGGCGGAGGGCGGCTCATCCCCGGCGGAGGGACGATAGTCCTGGGCCAGGACCAGGATGAGATTCTTGGTGGATTCGACAGCAAAGAATCATTCAAGGGAAAACTTAGCAGGTACCTGCCAGTGGACTTCATATAAGTTTTAGTCGTTACAGTACAAGTCTCTTGACTTCAAACGTCATGACAGGTGGGGTCGTGTGGCGTAGAGGCAGAGTGCGCGACTCGGAACCTAGAGGTCCCGGGTTCGAGTCCTGACATGCCACCGATCTTGTGCCCTTGGGAAAGGCACTTAACACGACTTTCCTCACTTCGCTCAGGTGAAAATGAGTATTGTATTGTCCTCTGTGTTGGTGGTGACATTAATATAAGTTGATAAATTTGTGTTGGTGGCGGCACTTAATATAAGTTGATAAAACTTGATTGTGCCGTCACCACGTCTGGTGATTACATGTTGGAATATAAAAAAACGTCATGACGGAAAACTGATTTCTTTTAATTTTTTTATGTTCGACATTAGCAATTTAACAAGCAAACCAATGTATATCGTTAGGGCATACTAATCCAATAAGATTCATACTATTCTTAAAACAGTAAACTATCAATACTAAAAAAAAAGATGTTTGCTTTATGGGAATGAAGTGAGTTTTCCAAAAAATACATTGCTTTCATCATAATCAATGTCTATGTACTGGGCCAATGTTAATGAAGTGTTATTATAATGAATAACAGGTTCTAATTGCGCCAAAAAGCAGTTACTCAAGCAACTGGATATGATTTTGGAACCGGTCAGACGTTTCAGCTAGTATCCACTAGCTTTCGTCAGTGACCGTCGAAAGCAGTCGCTGACTAAAGCTAGTGGATACTACCTGAAACGTCTGACCGTTTCCAAAATCGTATCCAGTTGCTCGAGTAACTGCTTTTTGGCGTATCTTATTACCTTCATGTCTAACCTTTATCTTCGTAACAGGTTAAATGTGTGGGACCACGTCCTTACCGAGGACCAGATCTCAGTCATGGCCCGACACTGCACGGATGACTCCGGAAACGTCCGAGCCTGGCCGGATTTCAGAGCAGCTGCTGAAGGCCTGGAAGTCAGACAGGGGTCAGCTTTCTGTGCTGGTAAGATACATTGATCTATATTTAGATAATAATCTCTATACTCTATAGGTCCAAAATATCAGCTTTTCTTTTAACAACGTTAAACCATTTCAATTCCATATTCCACCCACATCTTCCCAATTACCAAACATACAAGTAAAATTTCTTTATCCTTACCAGCAAAACTTGGAAACAATCTCTCTTTCCAATGGATCCACAGCCAATGTTGAATAAGTTCCCTTTACATCTTTATACTTGGCGAAAGAACAATATAACTTTCTGTTGATTACCTTTCGCAGGGAAGCCGTCTCTAGCCGGCGTGAACGAGTGTGAATCTAATCCATGCCAGAACGGAGGGTCGTGTGTTGACCACATCAACACCTTCACCTGTCTCTGTACACGAGGATATAGTGGGATAAACTGTGAAAAAGGTATTAAAGCTATTCCACCCTACTATATTGTACAAATGTGACAGACATTTTACTGCATGGGGATCTTCTACTTGAACATGATAATCTTCCGACAATTTTGTCATCGATAAATTATATAAAGTAGAGTGGATTCATTCCTCAAGCTAGCCGACATTGAGTAAAGAAACTCTTTTTACACAACCAAGTCTTTTATTCAGCCGACGTTTCGGTGACCGTCTGTTACCATCCTCAAGGCAATTCTGACTGGTCCACATTGCATTGCAGCACAGGTGACGTCGCTGCAACATATGCGTGATTGAGAACGCATTGCAGATACATTTCCCTGTAGCTGTAATCCAATCACGCATGTGTGTCTCTTTACTCAGTGTCTTACCAACCTGATGAAACTATTCACAGCTAACCGACATCTTTCACACCGCAGCCTTCCAACAGTAAGACATCTGGAACTGCATACTTTAGTGTTTTACAATTTGGCCATCTGGTACAGACACGACAATACTCACATGACTTGTGGCATTTTGATGTTTCTCTGTTGTGGTCCTTCCAAGTTTACTGTGGTAAATACAAAAGACATTCCGGTTTTACTTTGATGAACTAATCTGTATAATTCATAAATATCGATAATATGAATGGTTTTATTTCTGTCATGAAAGTTCATCTGTGTTGGTAGTTACATGTTTAGAGTTAAAACTTTAGATCCAACACAAAAAGTTCGCTCACCTAGAGCTTTCGACCAGCCACTCTGGTCTTTCTCAGTAGACTGACCCAGTGAGGCTTGTCACGTCGCTTCTTTGAAGCGTGACGTCAACACTGGGTCAAAGGTATATTGTAGACGATGTCGGCCCCCGTCGCGGTTAAGTGAAGGGTGGTGGGCCCTGATGTATATAGCCTCCTTCACCCCTCTCAGGAAATAGTCTTGTTCAGTGTCCAAAATCCTTACAGTGTCAAGTAAAACAAAGTGACTTTATGTGGATGTAATGGTTTTATTTCTGCCTTTCTAACAGACCTCAACAAGTGTGGCCCGAAAAACGAACCATGCGACTACAAGTGTCACGACAAAGACACCGGATACAGGTGTAAATGCAGAAAACGGTTTGAGCTGTTCAACAACGTCCACTGCATAGGTATGTTTTAAAATGGAACAGTTACCATCAATAGTGTACCTAAAATCAATGTAAAATCTTACAAAATGTTATATATTTTCCTTATTCTAAATGGCAAAAGAAAGGTGATGTTACAATCTTAATTCTCTTATTACAAAACTTGGGGAAACCTACAGGAACAATCCACATGAATAAGATTTTACTGCAATGTCAAAATATAATCAACTGCAACATTTGCACATCATTCTTCTTCATTTTAATGTCTCAAACTGTTGCTTTCTGTCCTAAGATGTCAATTTGCACATCTACACATTATTCTACTATTCGTGTTATCAAATATCTTCCTAATATGATGTTTCTTCTACATAGATGAAGACGAATGTACCACAAGAAATGGCGGCTGTGACCACAACTGCATCAACACTCCCGGCTCACATCTGTGCTCATGTTACCCTGGATATGTCCTTGGTGCTGACCAGAAGTCATGTGTAGGTACGTTCGGACTCTTCGCTTCGTCACTTTATATCTCACAGATTTAGGGTCTATAAAGCCTGTGATATATTGGATCGTGTGGCGTAACAGTAGTGTACGTCTTGGAACCAAGAGGTCTTGGGTTCGAATCCTGCCATGCCACCGATCTTGTGTCCTTGGCAAATTCACTTTACACGAATTTGCTCACTTCACTCGGGTGAAAATGAGTATTGTGCTGTCCTCTATGTTGGTTGTTGGTGGCATGAAAAATAAGTTCAGACAGATAATTTGTAACAGATACTTACCAAACAGATACCTACCATACAGATACAAATTCAACTCGCCGATCTATTGAACTGTTTGCTTTCTGTCCCAAGATGTGAATGAATGCGCTGGTATTGAGCTGAGAGACGGTCGACAGTTAGAAAATGGCGGCTGTACCCACACCTGTGTGAACCTGGAGGGCGGCTATGAATGTAGATGTCCAGCAGGACTCGTCTTGACTGAAGACGGCAGATCTTGTCAAGGTTGGATAACCATTGTTATATATGCGTAGTTACATTTATAATTAAAATATGTTTGCTTTTCAACATAAGAATATATCTGTAATAAAAGCAATATAACAAGGCATGTAACTTTTCTACATCTATTTATATATATACGGCATTTCATGAATGCGAAAAATAAAATACATAAAATACAATATGAACACAATATAAAAAATGTCTTCCTACCTGACCGACCGACTCTACTCTACTCTACTCAACTCTACTCTACTCTACTCTACTCTACTCTACTCTACTCTACTCTACTCTACTCTACTCTACTCTACTCTACTCTACTCTACTCAACTCAACTCAACTCTGTTCTGCTCTGCTCTGCTCAGCTCTGCTCTGCTCTACTCTACTCTACTCTACTCTACTCTACTCTACTCTACTCTACTCTACTCTACTTAACTCAAACAACACAACATTGTAAAGCATATATTCAATACTACACATTGTTAACGTTGGAGGTACGTGTTTGTTTTATCTCTTTTTAGATATTGACGAATGTAAGACTGGTGCGGCAGATTGTTCTCAACTCTGCATCAACACACTCGGGTCCTTCCAATGTGCCTGTCACCCTGGGTATAGTCTACTTGCTGATGGCAAGATGTGCCAAGGTAACGTGAAAAATTTTCTGTCTATTTGCCTGTACATCCAAAATGTAACTCATAATCAATTGTTTTATTTGTCAAATACTTCATCCATTCACTTGCTTCACCTTCCGTTGTATTTTCATGCTAGAAAGATATGTTTGTACTTGAACTGACGTGAAAAAGTTCCAACACAATTCTTGTACTTTTCATAACGGCTTAGGTGGAGTGAGAAATAACCTTGCAGTCGGTAAGACAACAACACAGAGTTCAGACTACGTTCACCTTGGGGAAGCCTTGGTATCAGGGAAGGCTGTGGATGGTTCCAGAGCGACTGATATTAGTCAAGGAAAAGCGTGCACCCACACACAACTGGACTATCAGCCATGGTGGAAGGTGGACCTCTCGCGTACCTACACAGTCCGCCGAGTCCGGATCCTAAACAGGGGTGACTGCTGCGGTAAGCTTATATCCATATTAATCAATATCATATTCAGCGCAATGGTGGTTATTTTGTACATGCCTTACTTCTATAACCTTTGAAAGATGGCGAAACTGTCATCTGGCTCAAATGTAATTGAAATGCAGGAGCACAGATGAATTAACTTTCACTAGTTTGATAATAAATGTTGATTCGATAGATATCAAAACCATGGCAGCACTTGTATAGAGGCTGAACACATTTAGTGTGCTTACATCGGAAGGTGCAAGCAGTTTACCTCTTGTGGATTTAATGTACAAAGATACAATTATAATGGTGATGGTTTGTGCATTTGTAGGAGAACGATTGAAAGACCTCATGGTGCGAGTTGGGCCGAATGAGGACTTTTCCCAGAATACGCAGTGTGGGGGGACTTACACGGACACTCCAACTGATGGGCAGACCATTGAGATGCACTGCAACCCACCCATAGCCGGCCGGTATGTGTCTATACAGGTGATGGGTCGGAAAGAGTTCTTGTCACTGTGTGAGGTGGAGGTCTATGCAGACACAGGTACGCATCGTTTTATTGGCAACCACTATGATTTTTATGTATCCATCTTAATTTTTCAATGTTATTACAGGTGGAATGTTTGGCGTTTTACTGTATCTTTGATGTTTCCTTTGTATGCATGTCGTTTTCAATTATATTCGTTTCACACTTATGTGCCCTCCCCCCCCCCTTCAATCAGACATACGTTACCTCGGCTGTTATGAAGACCATAAGGAGCGGATCTTCCCGTCTGACCGCATGGATTCAGACCAAATGACTTCGGACTTATGCATTCAACATTGCACTTCACACGGACACCAATATGCGGGTACGTAAGGAATTATTTATCACATTGTATGCTCATACACCTTTACATAAAATAATGACTGTCTGGATAGTGAAAGCACTCCCGTCCGGTATAAACTTGCAGCGTGACAACAAAGTTTTTCGACACGAAACATAAATAACGTAATTATCTTAACCTGGTTACCAAACCAGGCAATATTAATTTTTTACTGGTGATTATTTTTGTGGCTAGATCACCTTACCATTTGAAAAATTACTTTAATTTTTATCTTTTATCATCTAATTTTGCGCTTTGGAACTGTAACTCTCCTTGCCGTGATACAACAAAAAATGTACTAGTATAACCAACAGCGACATCTTTCTTTAGCCACTCAGTACTCCCGCCAATGTTTTTGTGGCTCTCGTGACGACTTTCTCGGGATCGGAGGGCGCCGGCCGGAGTCGGAGTGTAACAAACGCTGTCCAGGACGTACCACATCAGATGAAATGTGTGGAGGGAGCTGGAGAATGTCCGTGTACAGGACCGGCCGCTCAGAAGGTACGTTGTTACCTTTGCCAAGAAGGTTAGGTTTTTCGTAGCTTTTGTGTGTATATGTGTGTATGTATGTATGTGTATATGTATGTATGTATGTACATGTATGGATGTGTGGATGTATGTGGTTTAGCACGATAACTCAAAAAAGCTTTAAATTAATTGTCAGTATACTTGGTAGGTGGGTACGTCTTTATGAGACCTAGAAATGATTTGATTTTTGGGGCCCCTGATGACTTTCCAAGGAATTGCAACAGAAAGTCCTATTTTGATATCGCATTATTTGGGCATACTAGGGTCACGAATTTTGGATGGTAGATAGCTCATGGGCTAGAAAAGAAGTGACATGAGTTTGGACCCCCTAGCAGGTTGTTATGTAACTGCATGGCAGTTTGTTTTAATCATCTGGCGAAGGTATAAAGTCGTGGAACTCTTTTTGCTCTTTCATTTTTACCACTCCAATCTACGATTACATGGTGGCAAGCTGATCTTGTGGTTAGGATGTTTTTTCCCTCTTGCATCCCTTACTGGAAAAGGTGCATTGGTGATTTTATTGATTCAATACAAAACCTGATGGTCAGCTTACAATATTCTACGATTTCAACAGCATGTTATTTGACACTGTCTGAATATGCAATGTCGCATTCTATGGAATACCACACAAACTCGAACAGTCCTCACCACGTGATTTTGGTTGGATATTAATAGAATGTTGAAAATCTGAATGTTGAAAATGAGAAAACACAGTTCATATATAACATACGTTTTCGTAAAACATCTTTCGAACATTTGGTGCAGTAAATCTTTTCAATGTTCCCGTCCTTCTACAGATCGTTCCTGTAGCAGGCTCCCTGAGGTTGAACACGGCATGTTTGAGGTGTCCTCATCAGACAGTACAGTAGGACGTGTGGTGTGTAACGACGGGTACCGCGTACTGGGGAACCCCGTGCTTCGGTGTGACATGACCGGCCACTGGGGAGGAGCGCTCCCGAGGTGTATAGGTGAGAAACTGTCTTTGGAAAGAAGGCGATGAGAGCATTACCTTATCCAATTCTTAGTTACAGAAGTTGTTCTGTGACATCTTACGTTATAAAAACCATGTCATTAATACTGTTTAAGAGGCATTATGCAATTTGGAAAAGGGGCACAAAACTTAAACTTCGTGAGAAAGACGTATACATCAGCATATTTGCATCATTCGTCGATGAAGGTTAGCTACGGGTTACGGGCTACGGGTCGATCTTTCCGGCACTTGGGATTTGGCACTCCCAGCCCCGAGGACAGACAACACTTAAGCTCCTGTTCTGTATAACAGGAGCTTTCAGACTAATTTGCATCATCTTGTGTTGACTTGTCTGACTTTTGTTCCTTTTTCGACTTCCAAAAATTTGTCTTCATTTTATTTGCATATCAATCAATAGGTTGTGCTTATAAACCTGCATTTCCCCTCTGGTCTCTCAGTCACTGACGAAAGCTAGTGGATACTAGCTGAAACGTCTGACGTTTTCAAAATCATATCCAGTTGCTTGAGTAACTACTTTTTGGCGTATTTGCATCATTATTTCGTTTGTCTGGTGCCAGTGAACTGTTAAAAAACAACCACTGAAAAACAGTCGCTCCTGGTCTTGACAACAACATCCTGTCCCGCGGTAAACCTAATCGAGCTACCGAGTAGTTAGATACTTCCCAAATAGACCAGTCTTTAGAGTTACTATGAAAAGATATCACAGCAAAATATAATTTCTGGAAGTTACATAGTGGACCTTAACATATTGTGGATGCATTTTTTGCCTTTTACATGAAGTGCACGACTGTGGGAAACCGAAACAACTGAAAAACGGAGCTCGACTAGGATCGGGACATTCCGTGGAGTACAACTGTAACAAGGGTTACCTCATGGTGGCAGGGGACGGAGGAAGGACCTGTCAGTCAAATGGCGTGTGGAGCGGAGAACATCCCGTCTGTAAAAGTGAGTAATTTATGAAATAGTTGAAGGAATTTCCATTGTTTATATGGAAAGCTTAAAGACTACAGAAACAATATTCAGCCATGACTGTTACAGAACCTACATGTGTTTGTTTGCTTGTGTTGTTTGTTTGTTTGTTTGTTTGTTTGTTTAAATTTGTTTCCTTGAGTTGAACGTTTTGCACTTAGTTTAGGTCACTTACCTACATAGTCATGCAGTTTCTTTTTAAATCATTGCCCCGGTGTCTTTTCACTACTATACAATCATCTATTTAATTTCATATGGATTGCCCTTGCTGAAGAGTCAAGGGCAAGAGTATTATCTTTGAAAGACATAGATGCTACTCATTAAACGTTTCGAGCAATAAAGTTAATTCAATTAATTAATTCATTCATTCATTTATTCATTCATTTTATCCTATAATGCGTACTACAGAGGCAGACTGTCCCCAGCTTCCAAAAGCAGAAGGCCGTCTTCGCGTACTTGGTTCCCAGCTGATCACAGGGAGCATGGTGCGGTTTGTCTGCCCGCCTGGGTATGACCTGCACGGACCGGCTACCTCTACCTGTGGCGCTAATGGCCAATGGTCACATGGCAATGACCTGCCAGGTAACGATGCTCACGAAAGTTGCTTAATGTTGTGTTTTTTTCAAAGTTGCTCAATATTTTTTTGAAGTTGCTCAATGTTGTGTTTGAGTGAAGTTGATCAATGTTGTATTTTTGTGAAGTTATTAAATATTGCTTTTTTAAGTTGCTCAATGTTGTCTTTTTTGAAGTTGCTCAATGTTGTGTTTGTTTGAAGTTGCTCAATGTTGTGTTTTTTGTCATGTTCTTGAAGCTCAATTGTGTTTGCTCAATTAGTTTATCATGATTCAAATTTAACAAACATAATTCTAACATAATATGGCTTCATCAGTCTTGTTCTAATACAAACCAGGTGACTGTTAACACAAGAAATTTACCCACTAGTATTTTAATTTTTTTAAGATAAAGAGCATTGCCTGTGTAACTCTAACAAGTATTGAACTGTTGAATTTGTTGTTCCCACAGAATGCGACAAAAACGAAACGGAGAATTAAGACGAGTCGAGTCCGGACGTTCACGCCAAGAATGTCTAAATGAAGCGTGAGATGATTAAATGATCAACAACTTCATTCTGGTGGTCTATATAATCGCGAATTGTCAAGCAACAATAACAGCATTTTCTCTCGTCAAAATGTAACAAACAGTGTCCAGTTTAATTCCGGAATTCCAGTTTAATTCCGGACTAATTCCCATATCTCAGCAACCTTACGTCTAGATGGGCTAATATTCTAAGATATATGTAAAAATGATGTAAGAAATATGTAGTAGCCATCGGTGACCCCTTGGAAATTAACCCAATTCTGCAGAATTCTGCAGAATTCTGCAGAATTCTGGGAACTAGAGCCAGAATTCTGCAGAAATTTTTACCCATATCTTAGAATATTAGCCCATCCAGGTGTAAGGTTGCTGAGATATGGGAATTAGTCTGGAATTAAACTGAAATTCCGGAATTAAACTGGACACTGTTAACAGATAACCAATTGTTACAAAATACTTTTGTACATGTTGTGATATAAAGAAGCAAATGTGCTTTTTTATCTTTATTTCTTCGCGATTTAGGCTTGGATCTGTTTGCAATGATCGATATTGCAACTAAGTGTATATAGTGATACTTATTGCTTTATTAGTTGCTCTTTTTAATTCCTAACCGAGAACAATATTACTATATCTTTCATATTAGACCGCAAACTGTACTAGATATAGATAAATATAAAAAAACTCAGCCAGTCTAGAACATAAGTCATAAAAACATTATATGACCTTACATGCTAAAAGTGTTTTTAAGTGTTGCTTGTGTCACAATTAAAGTAATTTCATCTACGTCTTGCAATGAAAGAAGACAATAAAGACTAAGACTATCTTTACTACTCAGCCGTTTATTTTATCGAATAACTAGATGTTTGATTAACAACAATGGAACGCAGGTGAACATGATATTGGATAGACACTGATGTTAAGGTGGAATTGCTGAACAAATCATCTACTCTTGCAGTAAAGACGAGGTTGAGTCATCTACAGTTAAAGCAAGGAAATACAAGTACTAGTTAGGGCTCATTCTGTGACGCCACCATCACTGCACCAGAAAGTAAACAAACAGTTGTTTCCAGATTTTAAACACGCTCGTATGGTATCATATTTGAGCACCTCCACCACTTCCTGATTCATGAATAACACAATACGACAGAGTAGTATAATGAAAGTTCATCTGTTGGTAGTTACATGTTTAAAGTTAAAACTTCTGGTCCAACACAAAAATTCTCTCACCTAGAGCTTTTGACCAGTCACTCTAGTCTTCCTCAGTAGACTGACACAGTGAAGCTTGTCACGTGGCTTCAAGCCTCACTGGGAAGACCTGAGTGACTGATCGAAAGCTCAAGGTGAGAGAATTTTTGTGTTGGACCAAAATTTTTAACTTTAAACACAATAGAGTAGTGTTAATTAAACTTACTTTGTAAAGAAATGACCAAAACATTGAGTTATTGTACCGTTCTAGTTTTACATAATGCAGCGTGTATGGGTCAGAATCATGGGTTACGAATATGTCACGCTCAAGAAACCTAAACAGAATCTACACGAAGATGCTGCGAGTAGTTTTCAATACACCATGGTGGAAACACACTACATGTACTAATGAACAGTTAAACGGATCGTTACCAAACTACAGTAGTTAAATGTCGACGACTAAGCTTGGACAGTCGTTATGAAAAACTTAAACTGTTCTCCAACTCAAAATTTGACTCACCAGAAATTTTTGACTGAATCACTCAGTCTTCCTCAGCTATCTGAGGATAATTTCTGGTGAGTCAAATTTTGAGTTGGAGAACAGTTTAAGTTTTTCATAATGTAATTTACCAACTCAGATGAACTTTCATGCTGTTGAACGGTCGTGTTGTATGTAGCACAGAACCAACCAGTAGGCTTCTACTTTGGAACCCTGACACGAAGAGAAGGATTGGACGTCCAAACATAACACTTAGGGACCTTATAGAAACTGAAACAGGCTTGGAGGGGCTGGAACTTATTTCAGCAATGACGACAAGCAGTTCTGGAGATCAAACTTTGTCCGCTCAACATCTTCGGAGAATGAATGATGATGATGATGATGATGAATGCAACTTTGAACAAACGTGTTAGTCTTCATCATCATCAGTCGGTTCGGTGCACATCATCTCCACCAGCTCAGCCCCGGTGGCGATGTACCGGCTCCTCAGGTCTGCCTCCTGGTCGTCCGGACAGTTCGACCCGAGCAGGGCGTCCTCAAAACAGTCGTACAGCCACTTCTCTGTCCTGCAGGTTAGATCACAGACGTCAGGACTACATAAGATCTTGTTTAGAGCTAAGACTTTAGATCCAACACAAAAGTTCTAAAGTGTAACATGCAACTACCAACACAGATGAACTTTTATTACCCCTACGTTTCACCAGGAAAGATGAAAATGAATGAATGAATAGATGAATTCATGGATGGGTGGATGGATGGATGGATGGATGGATGAAATCATGGATGGATGGATGGATGAATGGATGAATGGATTGATTGATTGGTGAATGGATGGATGGATGGGTGGGATGGATGGATGGATTGATTGATGGGTGAATTGATGGATGGATGGATGGATGGATTGATGGGTGAATGGATGGATGGATGGATGGATTGATGGGTGAATGAATGGATGGATGGATGGATGGATGGATGGATGAATGGGTGAATGGATGGATGGATGGATGGAGGGATCGATGGATGGATGAATTGATGATCATCATCAGCTTTAAGAGAAACAAGCAGCAGCTAGGAGTACCTGCAGAAGTCATCAGTTCCTTTGGTATCGTCATCATCATCATCATCATCTGTGGTTCCAGCCTCTTCCGTGCGCCTGACGTAGCAGGACTGCATTCCTCCAGCAAACGCTTCTGTGCAGTTAGTATCTAAGAGAAGTACAGATAGATTAGATCATCCGTAATTTTTCTCGCACTTTAAAGGCATTGATAACTAGAAAGGCCAATATTTGCTTTGGAGCAAATACAGCGATGGGTTCACCACATTTTACGACATGGCAGGGAAAGAATGAGAAACACAAGGGAAAACAATGATTTACATTGATATAACTATAATATGAAGTAACATACAACTAAAACAACAGTTGGATAGCTATTCCCTACTTTATTGGTTAGGATTTTTAATTGCATAATGCAAACTGTTGATTTTCAAAATAAAAAAAAAACGTTCATGCCCCGCATTCCAATGCTGGAGCAGGAAAGCTTGAAATACCTACCAAAACACTTGAATACAGACATACTGTCAGTATGGAAATGCACTGTGCAGGTGTTAATCAAGTTAAATCCCAACAGCCAATCAGCAAGAAATGCTCTGTGCAGGTGGAAATGCTCTGTGCAGGTGTTAATCAAGTTAAATCCCAACAGCCAATCAGCAAGAAGTATAGAGGAAAGCTGCATGCCTATTGGTTGATGCCCTGCATTCCATTGTGATGACTCATGGTAAACACGGTGGTAAACACGGCACACTAACACAGTAATACATTTGCTATAACACAGCCAAAAAACTCAAATAAAACCATTCTAAAAGCCTGTATCACAAAAATTTAAAAAACGCCTAGGGGTATTTGCCCACTGTACCTCCATACCAAATTTCAGGACCTTAGGCCCTAAAATGAAGAAGCTGAATCCATTTAAAAAATGGCAGGAGGAGAAGGAGGAGAAGAAGAAACATCAGAAAAAGCAATATGGGTTCACCACCACTTCGTGGTGTGGTGAACCCATAATGACCATATTACCGGCTACATATAACGTCGAGATGCAGAACTCCAGTCAGAAGCTCTGAAGAAGATATCTGATAGACACCAAAACGTAAGCAAGGTATGAACTATCCCTGGTTGCATGTGTTTAAGAAAATCCCAATAAATCTCGTTTTCCGTCGACTGAACAGACAGATCACGCGACCCCTATCCCCGATACTACCTGTATGTGAAAGAACTTGTAAAATATTGTTGTGCAAAGGCTGTGGAAGACGAAATACATTTTATTTCAAACTTTCATTCCATAATAACGCTCGAAATGAATTGACTATTCAAACTTCTACAACTTATCCCAATCTCTCTAAACTTACAGACCAAGAAAAAACTGTTCTTCTTTTAACTTCCCAAAACCCACTAATTTTGGAAAAGATGGGACATTACGTCTTCCACCCACCCTTCAGACATAGTTTTAGACATAGTTATAATTCCAGACAGCTACCTTTATCATGTAGACTTTATTGTTATTTCATACTCTATTTCATTGTTCTTTTATGTTTTGTATTTTGCACGAATTTGCAATGCACTTTTCTAATTATTTCCCTTTAGCCTCTGGTCATTCGTGGCTCAAACTTTCACCGTACGGTCACTTGAGTGTGTTTGTCTGTGAAATAGATGGGAAGCATAGTTCTCTTCGGAGCTTGCGAAGAAGAGTTAGTTGCCAAAAACACTTGAAATTTGACATCAAAACAATGTACAAATGGTTTTCATTTAATGGGAACATAACACATACACAGGCACCATCACATACAAAAGGAATGAATTACTTCACTGCATCAAAATAAAAGGCAGAACAATAAATCAAAACCTTGCCTCTTCATATTTATCTTCCGTCCACGTTCCTGCATGGCAACAGACATCTTTGCCTATTTTCGGTGGCATGTTGCCCACTGTCAGAAGGCAACAAAACTTTTTTTTTCCATATCAGGCGAAAATTAATGTCGGCCACAAAATTTAGTTGCTGTGGCCTACACCATGTTCACTTTTTTTGGTATCGTCATCATCATCATCTGTGGTCCCAGTCTAGCTCTTCTGTGCGCCTGACGTAACAGGACTGCATTCCTCCAGCAAAAGCTTCTGTGCAGTTTGTATCTACTAGTAAGAGAAGTACAGATCATCCGCGTGCCCCCTACCCTGAAGGACTGATACTAATCATTCCACCGCTTTACCCTCTGACCCTTCCTCCCTACCCACTGTAATGCTTAGGTCACATTTGAAACGGCGCCCGTTCGGCATGTCCTCGGCGTAGACGCCGGCCGGCGTCATGACGCCGAGCGTGCGCCGTACTGTCAGGGTCACAATTAAATGTTCCTTTACGGCTCCCTGTCGGGGCCTGCTTGTTCTCCGGCCGGCGGCTCTCATTAATATTCATAAACTTTTGCGGTCGGTTTCTGTCAGGGACCCGTCCGGTGCCCGGTCAGTCGCCCGTCTTGACCCGTGCGGCATGTGGTAGGGTGCCGACCGGCTCTTACAGTTCGGCCGGGCAGCTGTCAGGTCCCTGGCGGGTTCCTGGCGGGATCCCGACGGGCTCCTCTCGTGTTTTTGAGCAGGTACATATATAAGCGCTGCACTGCCTGCTATCGTTCACTTCAAGTAATGCTTAGGTCACTTTCCAAACCGGGGCCCGGTCGGGCAGTTTGTATGAACGAAAAATTAACAATCCACATCAAGAGTATATAGATATAGCGCCCATGATTATTATCAAAAACGTTTCTGTGCTTTGTTGTCTTTTATATCATACTTTTCGTTCCCGAAAGCTGCCCGACCGGGACCCGGTTTGGAAATGTGACCTCAGCATAAAGAGTACACGTCAAGTAAAGAGTAGACTGAAGTTGGCGATGCAGCGTTCAGTGCAACCTGCAAACAACTTACAAGCCCGTCTGAGATTGAGATTGGTGACAACCTACATGTAGGTCTTCTGGCATTGGTAGCTGAAGAAGAGAGGCAGGCAGACCATGGTGCGTCGCAAAAGTAACCGAGGGCCTACTTTCGAAAGTACTTCAACAGTGACGCAGGAAGTACTTCAGCAGTGACGCAGGAAGTGTGCCGTGGCAGCTCCTTGCTATTGAGCAATAAAACCACTGAATATCGTTACTTCTGTTGAAATTTGGACTGAAAATAAATGCCAATAACTTCTGATTCCATTTTATTACGAAGGCATATGATGTAACAAGAGATAATGTCAGACACATTCTATTCCTGTTATGATCTGTTTTATGAAGTTGGCAAGAGAGCCGTGCCGGCTGTTTTCCCTTGCCCTTCGACATTCTGACACACAAATACAAGGTGTAACACACACAAGTACACGATGTAACACACACGTGGTGAACTGTGCGAAGTAGTCTGAGGTAGGAGTTTATATATGCTCCCTATAACCCCCCTTTCCTGACCATCTGATGCACTGATCAGCACATGTGACGTCATAATCTTAGGCAGGTGCCTGTTCGGCCGCCCGACGGGTGCCGGGCAGTGAGGTTACGGCGTCGCTTCGGCGTATTTCGCCGAACGGGGCCCGAAGTGTTTTAAACTCTGAGTTAAAATCGATTCGGCGACCGCGCGGGGCCAAAAATAGGCCGGCAGCCGTCGGGAAGCCCGCCGGTCTCCGTCCAGGTCCCGTTCGGTAGTGCCAAAAAACACGCCGAACACGCGCCGAGCGGGCCCCTTTCTTGAATTGTGGCCTAATGCTTAGGTCACATTTCCAAACCGGGGCCCGGCCGGGTTGTTTGTACGAACGAACAATTAACTTTTCTTATCAAGAATATAGAGAAATAGAGCCCATGATTGTTCTAAATAACGTTTCGATATTTTGTTATCTTCTGTACCGCAGTTTCGTTCCCAAAAGCTGCACGGCCGGGCCCCGTGTGGGAATTGTGACCCCAGCATGAGCATAAGGGGCTCACTTGTGTGTGTTTTTCTGTGAAATAGACGGAAAACATAGTTCTCTTCGGAGCTTGCGAAGAAGACTTAGCTACAAGTACCTCTAGGACAAGCCAGAATCTCCAGTCTTAGAGCGATGCCGCCGTGCCAACTCTTTGGTCGGATCCTCACGAACTGTGTGTTGATGCGCTGAGGCAGGGACCGCGTCACCGGGGTCACGTCATCAGAGTTTCCCTCAAAAACCTCATAGAAAACAAGAAAGCTTTAAAAAAAGCTCGGCATTAAAAATAAAAATAAATAGATAAAGGGATATTCTCCCTGCCCCATTTCATCTGAAAATAATAAAAAAATACGAGTGAAGAAAATCAAACTGTTCTCCATCTCAAAAAGAAATTAATTCAACAGAAATTCTTGAGTTGGAGAACAGTTTAATTTTCTAAATGTATTTTACTAATTCAGATGAACTTTCATGCTAAAAAATACTAGTAATAGCAAAAAGAATACTAGTATGTTATTGTCCTTAGATATTCAAAGGCTGCAACGAACACGATGTTCACATGTTAATGACTTTGTGCTCATACCAAAGAGAACTTTGAATCAGAGCAATTTATTCACATTTATCAGTTATGTTTTCATGAAGTTAGTGGCAGCAAAACCAGGCCAAAACCGTTCGCAAAGTCTGAAACAAGCATGTACAACATGTTCACACTTGTCTAGTGATAAATACATGTACGAGCTGAGGCCGGGCAAAAACGTTCGAGGTGTTCTACACTGTATATATAGATCCAATGCTCAACTTGCTGACAATAACTCAAAAGCAACAAGCATCGACGTTGACCTTAAGCAAGATGAAGTCAAAACCGCGGTTAATTTGTGTTAATTGTGCACGGTATAAACGTGGAATCCCATTGTTATTTTTCAGACATATTTGATTTTCAGTAGAGCTAATTTTAAAAAAAGCGGATTCAATTTTTGAAAAACGTCAAAAATAGGCATTTGTATCCCTGACGAAAGGTGGGCTCTCTGTTGCTGTTCTTCTATCTATCATTGTCATTGTCACTGTGAGTACAAATGTACAAGTACCATTTCCTGGCCGTCCTCATTTGTCACTGTGGTCCAATCAGAGGTGTCGTCTTTCCGATGCTCTACTTTGTACCTTGTCACCCATTGGTTGAAGTTACCACGTCCCTGAGTAGTGATTCCCGTCAGCACTCGCCGTTTCCGGAAGTCCACCTATGACGTAATGAAAGATAGTGATCCCTCCACAGCCCCTTCTGTACCAGTCAAGTCAAGTCAATTGAATTGTACAACAATTGTAGCAGGTGCAATGTATGGCAAGCTCTTACTACATGTCTAGCTGATACCTACTCTAACGTCTACAGTATTGAATGAATGAATGAATGAATGAATGAATGAATGAATGAATGAATGAATGAATGAATGAATGAATGAATGAATGAATGAATGAATGAATGACTTTATTTCAGGTTATCGTAATGCATTAAGTTCTATGTATCGAGACTAACACTATACGTTTTGTATTATTTCATGAAGGTATTACTATATGCATATATGTGTGAGATGAAGCAATGGAAAAGAAAGTTATGTAATCGGACCCGTTACATTATACAGCATAATAGTCAAGAAAGCCCCCTACAATACATGTACATGTATGTAAATTTTAAATGTCATCGGGACGTAATAATAATGGCAAAGTATTATCACATTCCTTTGCTTTACTGTTTTAATGTCTGGCTTTTGGAAGTAACGTGCAACGCCTTGGGCTACTTTCTACTTCATTGAGAAGAAACTAGCAGCAGAAATTCCTACCTGAAACCACTGTCGTTTGTTCTGGACGTTGGGAACCCAAGCCGATGGCATACCGATTCGGCCATTTTCGGGACCTGTCGTGTTGTCGTACGAGGATGACGCAGACAGCTGTGTGTCCAGGATAAAGCCCGATTCAATCCCGACTTTCACACGACACTCTAAGATCAAACAGGATAGAAAACGATGAAACACAACCGAATTTTATCAGGAAAGTTCATATGTGTTGGTAGTTACAAATAAAACTTTTGATCCAACACAAAGAATTCTCTCACCTAGAGCTTTCGACCAGTCACTCTGGTCTTCCTCAGTAGACTGACCCAGTGAAGCTTGTCACGTGGCTTCTTTGAAGTGTGACGTCAACACTGTCAAAGGTATCTGGTAGACGTGACAAGCTTCACTGGGTCAGTCTACTGAGGAAGACCAGAGTGACTGGTCGAAAGCTCTAGGTGAGAGAATTCTTTGTGTGTGAAAGTGTTCGGTAGGTGGATGAATTAAGGAATTGGTTAGCATGAATGTTCATCTGTCTTGGTATAAGTCATTATGAAATAAAGACTAAGCTTTAATTTCCAACACTGACAACAAAGAATTGGGACTTAGTACTTACCCCCAAATGTTGTTTCAATGCATTCACGATAACCACGAACATCTCAGCTATGATTCAACATACCTTCGTCTGAGTATTCTTCTCCGAGAGAGTCTAGGGCTTCCTCGTCTGTAAAGTGAAGAGGAACATCACGCTTAACCCGCTCATAGTCATTCCAACAAGATAAATATCGGCAAGGCAAGTGAGTGTTTTGTGCGAGAAGAATCATCACGGTTTAAAGTTTAGTTTAGTTAGAATGACATTTCATCTGTGTTGGTGCATAACCTTAAGGCAAAGGATAAAGTTTGACTCCAACACAAAATTGCGATTCGAGAGCTGTTAATAACATGTGTAAGAAACAGGAGGAGCCAGTAAAAACCCTTCTGGTCCCGAGCCGGGGTTCGAACCCACGTCCCCCGGGCACCAGAGCTTCATAACCAGACACTCTAACCGTTCGGCCGAAAAGGTCTAGACCCATTGGCCCACTCACCTAGAGCTTTCGATCAGTCACTCTGGTAGCGCCTATAACCCCCCCCCCCCCCCACTATTACACTACTCCCCCTTTTCTTTTCAAGATTCGTCCTCGAATCTTCCGAATTCCGAAAAGGTCTAGACCCATCGGCCGGGTCAATTGGTAGCGCCTATAAACCCCCACTGTTACACATGCATCAGGGCCCATCAACCTTCCGAAACGTTGAACACAAACGGGGGGCGGTATTAACTTCCAGCGACCTTTGACCCAGTGCTTACGTCATCATTCGGGGAGATGACGTGGCATACTGTCCTGTCCTGAACAATCGTGTCCTCAGTTGACCAGAAAATCATAGGACTAGTCGACATCATTGTGTTGAAGTCAAGTTAGACCCCTAAGCCTATCCATGACAAAATTACAATCAAAAGTACGGAGGCTCGTAAGTACAGGCATACGTGCGAGGAAGGTATTCGCGCAGACGAGGAAGTTTTTTCTGTGCAGACGTGGATGGTATTCGCGCAGACGTGGAAGGTATTCGCGCAGACGTGGAAGGTATTCGCGCAGACGTGGAAGGTATTCGCGCAGACGTGGAACGTATTCGCACAGACGTGGAAGGTATTCGCACAGACGTGGAAGGTATTCGCGCAGACGTGGAAGGTATTCGCGCAGACGTGGAAGGTAATCGCGCAGACTTGGAAGGTAATCGCGCAGACACGCATGTCTGTACTTACGGGCCACCGTACAAAAGAGAATATGTTAGAAACACTTACATGGGGTCCCTCCACCCTCTTCATAGGCCAGGTCAGATACCCTTGTGCCATCTACAAGAAAATAAAAAGCGAAGTTTAGTAGCCAGAACTGTAGCAAAAAAACACTTTGTGAGACAAATGGCTCCCCAATCCTAGAATATCTGTATCTGTATAGCCGGTATAATCGCCCTTCGGCGTAACACACCAGCTTCGCAGGCACGCGGCGCCGCGGCAGCTGGCTACATTACACCGATCGACTTGTTACACCTCACCCTTGAACATCTAATTACCTCCGGGGAAGGAGATATCCTTCCGCGAGGAGGTTTTACTATGGTTCGAAACATTTCTGTCAGCAGCTGTTTCTCGCGATCGGCTGGACGGATTTGTCTGTGGTTCGGTATACGTATTGCTGTTGGGCTGCAGATGATGCAGAACGTTTTTGTTTAATTGTATATGTGTTTATGGGCGTGGAAATAAAAGGTTTTTAAGTGCTCCGGACACCCCCGCCATGCTGAAAATGGAATTTACCATGTTGTTAAGGAATGGGGAGGTTTCAGTTTTGGGTCTTACCATTTAAAAGGGGTCAAACAGAGGGGTGTCTGCTTCCGATATGTATTTTGAAATATTATCGCAGTTGTATCTCGCGTTGGGGTAGACTGGACTCGGTGTAT